CACCTTGCTCAGAGGGTACCCTGCCTCGTGCCCGTTGCTCTGCCAGGATGGGCTCCAGCCCCCCCCACAACCCTGGATGGCTGGAATGGTATTCTCTGTTTTCTATTAAACAATTCTCAATCCAAGCACACTGCATCTCCACTCCTAGTGCATGCATTTCCTGTCCTCTTTCCCTATACACGATATCGGGATATTGTTATAACGAAGAAAGGGACCATTTAGATTAGTCAATCTAACCTAGGCAGCATTTGTTTTAAATGGGAGTAAGCTGCAGAAAACACAGAGGCAAATGGGAGGAACATGCACATTCCTCACAGTAGGTACCCCAAAAGCTGAGAGGCAGCAGTGTTAAAAGGCCAAGCCACTGCATCGCCCTTATCATATGGTATCAAGCAATAATCAAGCTTACCATTCTGCAAATACTTTAGTTGTTCATACAGGTCATCACGGTTTACAGAGACTAGGCCCATCACGACATCACTGTGACCTATAATCCCAAAGTAACAGGTTTATTTATTCCTTTCTACAGACAAATGTTTTACAACACAAAAATGGTATTTTGCTTTCAGCATACAAGGTACAGTTAAAAATCATTATAGGAGGAAAATAGAATGAAGCAGACAACTGCATTAAGTACTCCAGTTTTTTTTTCTAGTGGTTTGTTTCAGAAATATACAATACAGTGGAGCTTAGATTCTTTTAAAATGTAAGGTCATGAACTCACTCAAACTTTGATAATCCAGAAAATCTGTTCTTTTTCCTCAAAAAGGTGGAATTGACTTTGAATTTATTTGACTTATTTGAATTACCAGTTTGTTAACTTGACTAAGTTTCAATCCAGGTGAAACACGGGTGTCCTCGAGCACATTTTCTCTGTGTCTGGCACCTTCTCTTTCATCTGGCACTGCTGGCGTTTCCTTCATCACAGTGATTATTTGGATTGTTAACTGTATATGAAAAACACCCTCTAGAGAGCTGTTTTTTAATGCATAAAATATACCAGACAAGGTACAAAAAATTGTGGGGTCAAGTAGCACACCTCCACAACACAATGAGATTGAGTTCTGTGCTTATGCTTAAGATATACTACAGTGTCATCACTAAAGACATACATACTGTAATAAGATTTCAAATAACTGGAGGTCATTGGCACACCCTGCTCATTTGTTGCTGCACTTTAGAGTCTATTTTTACTAGCACAAAGGTTTCTGATAACACAATTCCCAGACCACCTATCAGTTTATTCTTCAAATATCATGCATTTTTGTATCAGACTTACTTTCAAGCCTAGTTTTTCAAAGTCATTTCTAAAGAATTGATAAAAAAGGATTACTCATTGTCTATCATTTCAATTTCAATACTTTTTTTTTTTTAAAAGATGGAAACAGAAATACATTTAGAGTGCTCAATCCGGATTAGGTAGCTTGCCTTCTGTGCCTCATTACTGAGGAAACACCAGGAATTGAATTTGCACTCTTCAGATCATGTTCTGCTATAGCCCTAGTTAAATTAATCCCTGCAGTAATTGCTATATTACATTTTGCAAAATCTCTAGACCAGGAACAGCAGTCATGAAGGCAGCTTAACAATCCTTGATGCTATATGTTGTGGTTACTCTCATTATATTTACATCATAACAAATTACATACAGAATAATATGCTACTGTAATTTTTATGACCAGTTCAACAACGGTTTAAGATGACTAATCCAATGACAGCTTTTTCACCAGTTCCTAAATTGGGTTTCTTATGCCTATTGTATCTCGCAGTGAAAGACGAAGCTTCAGGTTTGTAACTAAGCCCTGCAAGTTCACAAAGCACCTTTACAGGTGTGAAAACACAAAGTTGCTGATACAAAGTTTTTCTGTCTGAACTCACCATTCATGTACTTAGTTGCTGAGTACATACAAATGTCTGCTCCAAGGGCCAAAGGACGCTAAGATTGATGGGGGGGGGGGGGAGATTAAAAAGATTATTAAAGGACTGTTGTGAAACAGAAAAGTTCTTGAAGATCACCTCAGTGGCAACAACTGATACTGTCGCTCCAGAGAGCCGCAAAGGTTCTCATACATGTTAGAAACTGAAAATATGGATGCAGCGTAAGCAGTAAGAGTCAATAACTGACATTATAAAGTCATAGATCCTCGATATTGCTACTGCAGTAGCACTAAGTCCTGATTTGAGGGGTTTTATTGCTAGCTGTGAAGTTGTTTTACATGTTCTTCATGTGAAAGACAAGTGATTATAGCAATTTTCTGCTGACCTTCAAATAAAGTATACCCAGATTTATTTTTATAAGGTGTCACTAACTGAACTTGAAGAATAAATAACAATTTCCCATTTTAACATAGATTTGCATTGGAACATTTGTACCAATGTGTCGTCTGAGGAATGATATTTGTAAAATCTTCAATGTGAAAAGTGGTTCCAAACATTTCAATAGTATATATGGGGAATTAAAACCCTCTGTCTAACCAAACACATTGCAGAATACCATTTGATTTTGTTATGACTAACCATGTTATCATTTGAATTTCAGCATATTTCATATACTGTACCTTTCAAAATATTCCATTTTAAACCCATACAGATTATTTATGTAATACCAATTGCAATTCATACAATGCCTTCCAGTTTAATTTTAACATAGTGCGAAGAGCATTGAGCCTTGTGGCATGAAAAGCACTTGTCAAAGTTTGTATTTGTAACATAACCACCAAGTACAGCAGTGTGTCTCTTGAAGCCGATGTTTCAAAGAGACACATCCACTGCCATACTGCCTAAATTCCACTCTGGATTTAACAATCTGCTTTACTGCAAGTCCTCCTTAAATGCTGAAGAAATTTCTCTCTTCTTGCCCTGCAGCGCACTGGCACTCCCATCCCAGTAATCTAGCCTCGTCAGCTTCTAAAATTGGACACAATAAAACTTGTAATGTCCTCTGACATACCTTTTCTGTATTTTAAGTGTATTCCTCTGTGTTTTGAAAAGTTTTTTGTTGTAAAGATATTTGAGATGTTTTTAGTATGAAAGGCACTGTATGAAAAAAGGTTTTAAAATGTGAATTATTTTTGTCAAAATAAGCCATGACAATGTCAGAGAAGTCAGGGATCTCAGGCCTGCATGTACGGTATTCATCACCTTCAAGGGACCTGAGCAACGTATATACCACCAGCTTCATAGCGGACAACAGAGATCATCACCAAACACAGATCTCTAATTCAGCAGTTAAAAAGAGAAACAAAAATATGAATATTGGGAAAAAAAAGATATGCTAAGACAGTCTGATCATACTCTGTCTGCTTTTACAGTAGTTTATATCAGGCCCCAGCTCAGCAAAAAGTTGCTTCCATCTAGAAATTGGAGAGACGATGCCCACCTAAGATGCTCACCTGAAAGTAAGCGGACATGAAGGTGTTGTCCACCACAACAATGATGTCTTTGTTGTACTTGTGGACAATATCTCCACAGCCTTTTATATCCACAACCTTCAGAGTAGGATTTGTAGGAGTTTCAACCCAGACCAGCTGCATTGACATGTAAAAACAAGGGAACAAAAATGACTGCAGCAGAAGTTAGAGAGAACAAACATTTTAGGCAGATTTAATGTATTCTAGGGTATTGAATCTCGAATACAGTTACAGGGTTACCTTAGTATTTGGTTTAATAGCTGCCTTCAATGCTTCAGGCTCTGTGAAATCCACAAACGTCACCTCCAAGCCCAGCTTAGAGGCTATTTTTGAGAAATACCGATTGGTGCCTATAAGAAAAAGCATAAGTAAAAGATGGTAAAGACCAATCCATTTCCTGACTGCTTCTTCCAATTCAGGTTTGCAGGGGAGCTGGAGCCTACCCTCGTTAGCAATAGGCAGGAGGCAGGGTACAGCCTAGCCGGGATGCCAGTCCATCGCAGCAACAGATGTCAATGATTAACGAGTGAAAGACAATAGTAACATTTGTAAGTGACACCTGTATTAGAAAAGGTTTTTGAAACTGCTGCTGTTTACAGAAAGTTGGATCACAAGTTTCAAACAGGCTATAATTCTCCTGCTTCTCCATAAAACCCTTTAAGTTTTGAAACGTTCTTTAACATCTGACATGATTTCATTTTGGATGGAAGTAAAGTGCTGTGAGAATAAATGCTTAAAGCGATGCGATGATAAATATCAGATCTGCCATGATAGGATTGTAGACTATAGACGTTGTCATACACAAAACACAATATATAACTGGAAAGGGCAAAAGGTTTAGAGTGAAAGACTGGATAAGAACAAGAAAGAGTCCTTTTGGCAGTTCTTGCTTGTTGGGTTGCTACTAGCTAAATGACTCAAGAATTCCATCATTTCTTACAAGACCCTTCAAAGAGCCATTTTAAACAAAGTGGCTAAGGAGTTTGTCCCAGACCATAAACAAAAGCAGAGATGCCAATCCGACGAACCTTTTTGGGATCAAGTTTGCAGGAGTTAGCTGCACAAGCTTACCTCCATATACGTCATCCATACATATGATACCATCACCAGTTTTCAACAAGTGAGTGATGGTCATTGTAGCTGCTAGTCCAGACGCCAGTGCAATACCTATAGAAATTTTACAGTTAAAAAAATACCTGCAATAAATCCACGTTTTAGAAACGATACTTTACTATGACTACTTATGCATCTTATTTGAAAAATATGAGGAAACTCTTTACTTTGTCATGTAATTCCAACAGAAAAAAGGTTTTATCAACACTAAAATCCACTTTCTGCAATATTAACATGATACAGTTGTTACAGACAGCTCACAGATTGTTCTTTGAAAACCCACGAAGAAGAAAGATACTGTAGGCTGACTTACAGTATTTCGCTCCGTCCAGAACTGCAACAGCTTTCTCAAGGCAGTTCCGAGTTGGGTTTCCACTACGGCTGTACTCAAAGCCCTTTAAAAGAATTAAAGAAATGTAAGGAATTGCAATGTGTCCTGCTTCTCAGCTACCAAAATATTTAAAGAGCAGGCTGAGAAAGAAAAAACATTTGTTGTAGGTGCTACCAAAAAAGGAAACTTTTTTATTTTGATAAATGTTAATTACAGTTAATTTTAAAGAAAGCTGAGTTTGGATTTTCTGGTCAGTTTTCTGGCTAAGTACACTTTTGAAAGCACATTTTTATTCAAATAGGGTCAAATAGGGTTAGAAACAGTTCATTTACCATGCAAATTAGGTAAAAGTGGTGCAAAGCGATAATGTGAAGTTTTACTGATGAGAGAGATCCGTACTGTATTTCAAAGCTATGCCCTACTATGGTGACTGGGAGCTCTACTGTAGGAAGTGCCTCAGACAAGATGATAAACCTGTCACGACTGTAGTCCCTCCTCCTCAAGGGCACTCCGGCTCTTTTCACTTTGGACTTAATTCTGTGCACCTGCCCCTTGTTCCAGCCTCCTCCCCATCCCCCTTAAAAGCCAGATACTCAGTCAGTTCCGGGCTCTGCATCTGATTTCCACATCGTGCGAGCCCAGGTCCGGATGAGTCTGGCTCTGTCATGTTTTTAAGTCCCTGTCCCTGTCCCTGTTCCCTCTGCCGGTTCCGACCCGGTTCCTGGTTTTAATCTCCTGGATGGATCGCCTGGCCATGGACTTACTGTATGCTTGTTGAATTTGCCTATGGACTGATTACCTTTGGATTGTTTGCCTTGGGCACACCTCCCCCGTGCACCAGCGCACTTTGGACACGCCCCCCTGTTTTCATCCCCGTATTCCTGCATGACCTTTTTCCCCAGTGTTTCCTCACTACTTCGGATTGTGTTGTCTGCATAGGGTCCGGAAATAACTGTTCGTTACAAAACTGAGATCCCTATGACTAGGTTATTAAAAATCCCAGTGAGCTACAGTACTTGAAAGGGTGTTAACCCCCGTGCACAGACTTAATTTTACTCACAGTCTGAAAACTATACAGAATTCAAACAGGTGTGTTCAATTTTGAACTAACCCGACATTGTATTCTTCCGATTTTTTAATATGAACTACCTTTTATTGAAACTGTATGCATGCAGCAGGAATATATTTAAAATGACTGATTGTGATCCTTGTGTTAATTTTACTTTACGCTTTCATCTTTCAAGATATTGAAACATTTTGAAAATTAAATCAAGTAGCATAATGTTTACTAAATGGTGGCATTTTAGAGTGAAATCCTTTCCCTTTTAAAATAATGGGCCAAAAACATTTTTTTTTTTACGTGTTATAACTTCAAGGTTTACATTATGCAAGAGCTTGAAACCACATCAAATAAAATCATTTATAACATGTTATGACCCTGAAGCAATCCTAAATCTAAACATAATAGAGCTTTATAGTAATGAACAATGAAGAAGTATAGTGCAAACAAGAAGTACAGTTTCCACATGTGAAGAAAATCTGTGTTGTAACAAACTTCTCTGCATTGCCGAGTCCACAGCTGGTTTTATGATGAGATTTCTAGGGCCCCCAAGAAGGCTGTGCATGTCTCTCAATGCAGTTCTCCTTGAACCACTGAGTTTCTTGATTCATTCTTTTCCTCATCTAGACAATTTTTAGGTTAAAATAAAAACACTAACAGAATGATCACATACATAGTAAAATATTAAGCTGCAAGTAAGGGATGTTACACAATCTATTCATATGACCTTATTTAGAATACTGCAGGCAGTCGTTAACATTGTTACAAAAGAGATATTGCTGTCATGGAAAGAGTTCAAATGGGTGAGTGGTTCCCAGGTTTAAAGGCAAATCATGCATGAAAAGATTAAAGGAGCCATTTGAGTCTAGAACAGAGAAAGGGAATGGGATTTAAAACCCCAAAAAGAATGGCTTCCTCTCACATTCAGCTTTTGACCATCTTGCTCATTTGGTAATTTAGTAACTAAGTGGATCAAATTCTTTGTTCAGCCACTTTTTGTAGGAGCTCACAATAGTCCCTGGCCAGTGCTCACCTGAGTCCCATAACTATTGGCCTGGCTGGTCTCTACAACCTCCCTCTACTGAATGCAATCTTCTTGTCCCTCTCAGACAATATGAACAGGTTGGTTTCCCTCAGGCCAGGCTGGGTGCTTCAGGAGCTCCAGGCGGACAATACACGGCTGCACGGATCGTGTACACTGCCTACCCAGAACTCGAACCAGACGATTCTCTTCCCCCCTTGCCCAATCATCAGCAGCCGAGTCATCCATCGGAGCTTAACCCCTGACCTGTGTCTTTCCACGGGCTCACTGGCCGATTCACTGGGAGGAAGACGGAGATTGCAGAGCCAGGGTTAACAAGGGTGAGCAGCCACTTGCCCCCAGTAGTATAAGAGATGAGCAGATTGGTCCCATTTTTGCTCTGACTTGCTCAAGCTATCCTTGCTCTCTGACATCGTCTTCTGCCACTTGCATTGACACTGGGTGTGCCCTCTTTTTCAACACCCCCAGAAGGGCTGGCCTCTTTGTTTTGGCAGGGCATGTTTGATTTCTGGTGCTTTAACTGTCCTCCCTGGTTTTCTAAGTCAATCAGATTTCATTTGTCAAGACTGCTTCATTCCTCTTTTCTCTCCCTACAGTTGGATCCAAACCGAAAGGCTCTGTTGAAGCTTCCTGATGTAAACTAAATCAGGGGTCCTGGTCTTGGTCTAATCATCTGCTAGTTTTAATTCCAGCAGTGTTTAATAACCTAATGGAAACCTTTATTGACAAATTGGTTGATTGGAACGTTTGCAAGTTTTCTTTTTCAATGCAAAATGCAATGCAAAAGCTTGCATAAATTTACTTATGAAATGCAATAGTTAAAAGGCAACCTCCCACATATTTCAAAGCTGAAAACAATTCAAATTAATCCTATTATTACATCAATCACGGGTTCAATTGTGCAATTGAGAGCTCAGCTGGAAGAAAATGAGCAGGAGCATGAGTCTCCATGACCAGAATTAGGAGCCTGTGGTCCAGGTGGTGTCATTCCTCTTTCAAGCTGCTTTCTTTCTGGTAGTCTGTGGTGGTAGTGCACAGGCATGTTGTACAACTGCTGCTCCGACTCTTTCACAAAAAGGGCTTGGGTCTCTGCACAGATCCAGGAAGGTCTGCAGGTCTGAAACCCATGCAGTCTATCATGGGGTGGTGTTATGTGGATGGATGGCCTGAGGAGTGCTCTTGAAAAGGGTGGTGAGATTTGTTTTCCTGGAGCTGCTGTAGGTTCTTTCTCAGGTGTGGCCATGTAGGGACTCTTGCCAGTTATTGCAACATCCTCCCACTATCTGACACCACTGCCGTGCTTTGAATGTGTCCGTGAGTTCAGAGGATTCTCCAGCAAACACATGCTCCAAACTGTCAAGAACAGCACAAAGTGTACAAACCGGTAAATCAAGAGACCTAAAACTGCAACAGGTTCAAGTAGGGACAAGCACCACGACATAGTTCACCCTAGACAGTAATACACCCAGCAGCTCTATAATCCTGCAACTCACAACTGGCAACCTCCTGAAGCTCAGCAGGAGCGAGCCTGGCCAGTACCTGGATGAGAGACCTCCTGGGAAAGCTAAGGTTGCTGCTAGAAGAGGGGCCAATAGGGGGTGCTCACCAGTGGTCTGTGTGGGTCCTAATGCCCTGTATAGGCACTGTTTTTCAAATGAGACATAAAATGGAAATCCTGACTACCGTGATCATTAAAAAAAAACCAGGGCATTTCTCATAAAAGAGTAGGGTTGATAATCCCGGTGTCCTGGTCTCCCTTTACCAATCATTGTCTGTTCTTCTCTTCACTGATAGGTGATGTGTGATGAGTGAACTGGCGCACTTTATTGCATAATTGGTAGTGGTGGAGGGTAGTCCCCACTCACTACCTGTAAAGTGCTTCAAGTGAAGTGTCCAGAAAAGCACTATATAAGTGTAAGGAATTATTATTATCCAACTCTCCAAGCCAGCACAGTGGCTCCCATATTCATTCCCTAGCCCTTATGATATCACATTGATCATGACACTAGGCTAGAAGATTAATGACATATTGTCACTGGGGCCAGTCAGGTTGAATGGATGTCTACATGTATAGGATTGGTACACAGTGCTTATTTAAATACATAATTCTCATTGCTCATTGTTAGCTCATTGTTGGAGGACTGCTAGGGTGACATCGGTTCATACTCAAGCACCTTCTGTGCATTGGGTTCCTGAATTTGTCTGATTCACTGTGCCTAGATACACTGGATACACTAGATACACTGATACACTGTGTCTAGAACTAAGGAGAACTGCTAACCTAAATTTGCTTGAAACCCCCTGAGAGGCCACTAAAACTACTAGCTTCATGTTCATCAGAATATCATATTTTATATATTATATGGAAGAGTCTGGGGATAAAGAAATGGACAACCATTGGTCACTAAAACATTTACATTTTTTACTTTTCCTGGTCAAGGAGTTATTCATTAACATGAATTCATTTACATCCAGGCTTCAACAACTACATTGCAGAGTAACATTGCTCTGTGTCTAGTCATTGACCACCTGTCACTGTGGGCAGTGAAAAGCACTGTCATCACTATCTGCTGAATACCAAATGGAATACTTTCAAATATCACTACCCAGGTTTTAAAAAGATTAGCAGTTACAGCTATTACATGATAGTTTGAGGTCTTAATATAAAAAAGGTAAGGCACTAGATTTTAAGTTAAGCGCTTGCCCTAACAGCACGGTACGCCTTTGAAGACTCTACATATCATAAAGCTTATTAGGATTCCCAAAGATCTCCTTTTGTTCGACTAGTCCGATCGCCTAACGAAAAAACACGGTCCACAAAACTATGAAAGGACTATGAAATAGAAATACGAAGTCAAATGGGTCGTGCATTATAACGACGATCAAGAACACCATTTCAGCAAATTATTTTTTAAGTTGAAGGGAGGCCCATATACGGGCAAAATCTCTTTTTCTTTTCTCTTCTTTGAAATGCATTACAGTTCAATGTATAATATTAATTCTGCAACTTACTGCATGTTGACCAGGTCCATGCTGTTTAAACGTGGTTGAGAGTGAGATGGGCGGCACTACAGCCATGGACGTCCACTGCTCTGGCTCTTGCCCAACATGGATTGCCTGTGTTGCAAAGGATTTAAAGGCCTCCAGAAACCCAGAAGAGTCGTGCCGTGTGCGCGAGTCCATGACTAGATCTAATGCAGTAGCAACGTGTCACAATGTCCTGAGAGCTACACCAGCGTGCGGGCCCTTGACAAGAGAATGACAAGAGAGAGGGTAACATGAAATACGAAACGTCCGGTTTTTTAACCAATCAACGGAGAGTGCAGAGAGGGAGAAGTCGAGCTCTATTGGCTTGTCAACAGGAGGCGTTGTCAGACATGTGACTGCTTTACGAAAGTAATTGTTTCTGTAGTCGTGTCGTCATGATGCAACATGTCGTTGTTTTAGTTACATGAATAAAAAAAAGTTTTTTTTTTCTGTGTGAATGGTTTTGAGATGGGAAAGCAGGTTTCCCCTTCCTTATGCAAGAAAGAGTTAAATAAATTAAGCTCTCACTGAGAAGCAGCAGCGCCCAAACGGGCATGCAAATAAGTACAAAATAAGCAGGGTTACAAACGAGAGGCCATTGTCCCATCCAGCGCTTTTGATAGTTAATAATTGATCCGAGGATCTCATCCAACCGTTTATTGAAAGCAGCTTGCTCCACACTCCCACGGCCCTTTGTGTAACGAAGTGCCTCCTGTTCTCGGTTTTAAATGCTCTCCCAACCAGTTTCCATTTGTGCCCTCTGATTTATTCAGTCTTGAATATGCTCAGCATACGGATTTCAACTATTTGGACCGCGGCCAAATTCATCAAAGACCTACACAAATTATCTCTGACGGATTATGACGTTGGCGCTCAAATTGTATGACAATAACACTGAACATAATTGATTTTTAGAAGGGATTAATACAAATTTCATAATTCAGATTGTTTTGGATGGCCTCACTTACCAACGTTTTAATATAGTGAAATAACACGGAGAAAGTTGTGTTCTCGTGTCCTCTAAATTAAAAACGTATTTTTGAAGACAAAATGTCTCTGAATAGTTGCATTTTTTATACTCGAATTGATCAAATGAGATTATTTTTTGCACGAAATCGATACGACAAAGAGCCTGGGTAACTAAAACTGCGTGTTTGGAGGCTGCGTTTTTTCATTTTGACCAATAGGGGGTGCCACTTGGCTGGGACGAGATTTAGATGAAGTTCAGGAAAGGTTCTCGTTACTGTTACTTCATGAGTTCTAAAAAAATGCGTAACCGCAACGATCCCGCAAATATGAGAGACCAAGTGGGCACATTGTCTTACAAATTAATAGAAATGGCACAATAACTGCGCACGGCTGTAACCACAACAGTCTTGAACTGCTATGGACTGTCGTCGTTCTTTTGCTGTCTTATATCGGATTTCTGCAGTTTATTCTAAATCATATAAATCAATCACAACTAGACTGACACCTTGGAGGAACACATCACAATGACCTCAGAATAGGTGGTATTAAGCAAATAGCCTTGTCCTCAACAGCAACGTAGATCTGAATCTGTATTTGTGATAGAATGAGACTTTTGCAACCCTCATTGTAATTCAATGCAGTTCACGGGATGAAAGAGACAGAAAATAGCAATTGGCACGATATAGACTTATTCTTAACATGAATGCCATGATTGTATTGCCAGAGACTGCAAGATTATCCTCCTGACTTTTTAATGTTTTTTTTTTCATCAGTAACTATAGGTGTGTTCGCTGGTGAGTAACATCCGTATGACAAAGGTAGTATGCAAATCATTTGGAATTTGAGCTCTTCAGCTAAACTAAAAAATGTTCCTTTGCAGCCTACGCATGCTGACGCAGCTACCCACCTGAACTACTAAACTAAAAAATGTTCCTTATATTGGAAAAATTAATTCTAACGAGTTATAATAAATAAAAGGCAGCAAAAGGTCATTAAAAGTATCCACGGCTTATCCAATACAATACATTGTGTAGTCAGCGAAACTGTGTAAGTACATATGCTGTAACCAGTGTGCCGCCGTGCCACTCAAATTCTTTACGATATTTAGAAATGTATAAAGCTCGAAGATATGTTGTCGTTATATTTTTTACATTATTTTTGTAAGATGAGGGTGGTGCAGTAGTTAGCATTGCTGCCTCGCTGCGCTAGGGCCCCGGGTTCGATTTCAGACCATGGATGTTATACGTGTGGAGTTTGCACGGTCTCTTCATGTTTACGTGGGTTTCCTCCCACACTGCTATAACGTGGTAGTAATCTGGGGAAATTCGTCCTGATGTGTCAGCATGTCTGTCTGTGTGCAATGTGATGGACTGCCGTCCCGTCCAGAGTGTACACTCACTGCCTTGCGCCCGTTGCTTGCCGGGATGGTCTCCGGCGACTCAATTGGATAAATCGCATAGAAAATGGATGGATGTTATAACTATGTTGGTTTAAAGGTTATCTGCTTATAAAAACTGAGTCGCCCAGCACAAATACGAGACCTAAAACAAAAAAAAAGATATACAGATAAAGTCAGATTATCATCGTAAGGATACAGAAACCTTATTTAATGGAAAAACACCAAAATGTTCTCCTTATCTGAATTACGCATGTACATCACTTCATAAATATATTACTTTCCGTTAAGACAACAAAATTGGGATTCGCTTTTAATGAAGATATTTTCTGCCATCTGTCATACCAACCGCAGTTTGCTACAGGTTTATTTTACCAAAAACATCTCCTGCATCCAAAACAGCGAATAATTATTTTCAAACCCTAACTGCAGTAACTCCATACAGGTTGAAAAAACAACCACACATCGCGATATCATCTAACATCCTGCTTGAGCCTTGGAAACCCACTTGGACACTCTCGCGAGATTAGAGGCGGAAGATGGCTGTTGGGTCTTCTCTGGAGTCGGAGGATATACCCTGCAGGAGTAGCCAGCATAGGGACGTTATAGTTTGAGGGAGCGGAGTAGAGCGGTTAGGGGATCCTCGGTTTTCTGTGTGTATGCGCGGCTTGTCAGTTTTCGTTACCGTATGTTACAGTTTGGGGATTTAGTGTTTTCATGTTGTGCGGACTGCTGCTTTTGTCTCGGCATTCCCCAGCCTATCTACCGCTGGCATCCTCGCCACCGCCAGCGACACTTTCCGCCTATCCCTCCATCCCTGGCATCAGCATCCCCCTCTGCGAGTTTTTCTGAGATTTAAAGAAAAATGACCGGCGAAAAGATACGATCCCTGCGCAAGGACCACAAGCCAAGCAAAGAGGAGGATTTACTGGAGCCCGACGAGGAAGCCGCCGCCGGGACGTTCACCTCCTCCACTACCCGGACTAGTAACAGAGGCAAAGCCAATAAGATTTTTAGCAATCACAAGCTGATCAAAGCGCCGGGGCCACAGCAGCTGCATCAGCAATCTCAGATCAATGCAAACGCGAACACTAACACGGCGACGGGGACTATCGATGACAACAACAAGAACCCCATAACCCGGACGACGGAGGGTTTCCCCGTCCACGAGTGCGTGTTCAAGGGGGACGTGCGTCGGCTGTCGTCCCTGATCAGGACCCAGAACATCGCTCAGAAGGATGTTCACGGTAAGCGAACCCACTCGGGTCGCCTTCTCAAGTCAGGCTGAAATGTACGAGAACTTTTTATGTCCGGCTGTGTGCTCGATATTGAGGTACGTGTCCGTGGCGTATTTAGACGCGGGGTTTGCCTGACGTTGTAATTGCGACTTCTACAGCGGAGACATGCACCGCTGCGATGACATTTGTGTTTGGGACAGCAGTGTTACTTGGAGACCAGCCAGGTACCCCCCTCCCCCGCTGTAAAAGATTTGTGGCTTGTGGAGCATCACCGAGATTTGCTTTCCACATCCCAGATGATTCACAGCCACTGAAGTTGACAGGCTGCATTGCAAAAAACGCGTGTCTCTGGTGGGACAACTGAAACCTGCCTTCTGTAGGCATATAGAAGGATTTGGCCTATTCCTATATAAGTTACAGTTCTGTATGCAGCTGTTTATGTGTTGTACCCGGGTTGCCTTTACTGTTTTTCAGTCGTTTCACTTTTAGTAGACTGAAGTTGTGTTAAATATAACTTCCAGAGTACAGACTCAATTGTGGTGTCCACAGTACAAATAAATCCCATGTCCCATTTCGTTCACTGCATACTACTACAGTTTTATGTGAAAAATGTTTCCTGTTCACTGTGCCTGTAGCTGTATTTGAAAAATATTTTCTGCTTTCGGTTTGTTTCCACGTGAATGTGGTTATGCTGCGTTGGCGAGGGGCTGTTAAAACATGCAATAAAAAGCGTACAAATCTCAAATTCAGGCTTTGACGGTGGTTTTCCTGTCTTGTAAACGTTCTTTACGTGGAGAAGCATGGCCATCTTGTGAAATACGTCTTCTGCCCCCTTTTTTTAGAAGGCACGTTGGTAGACGACTCTCCTGGCTTCATAATGATCTTTTCTCTGAGCCTGGGTATGTGGGCAAATAAGAAGAGTGTTTAACAAGCGGTCTCTTTTTGACTTGTGGATATGCCTGCCAGTACTCTTCACTAAAACCTCCTCATATTGAATTGCTCTAAAATGTTATTTTCACAATCACGCGAGCGGCCTGCAGACACCTTTGTCTTGTAGAAAAGTGCAAATCATTAAATGATTGTTTAACAAGCTTGATATCTGGGAATATTTCGTCCTGAAAAAGATGTGCGTTGCAGTGATACTACAGTCCCAAGTGCTTTTGGTTTACATGCCGCAAGAAGAAACAGAATTGCTTGGATCAGAACATGGATTGATCAAGAACAAGCAGTCTTTAGTTTTTACAGCGTGGCATTAAAAGAAGCTTATTTTTTTTTCTCCTTGTCCTGTTTTTGTCCTTGTTGTTTAGGATTAACCTCTCCATCTGAAAATCTCTTCCTGCATGCAACCCAACCATTATCTACAATGACTCTGACATTTGTCATTACTCTTATTTGAATCTCTTACTTAACCAGTAGTGTGAATCGAAAACAAGTTCTCATTTGCAAACGATGGCCTAGTGCGTACCAGTTTATATTTCAGAGCATTGCATCCCCGTGGATGAAGTACAGTACCTTAGTGAAGTGTACGAAAATAGCATCCAACCTGCCATAGAAGTCCTGTGGTTTGGAGTCCAGAGCTGCTGTCCTCACAAACCGCATGTGCACCAGGATTTTGACAGGAAAGGTGTTAATTATAAATTCACCATCACACATCTCACTGTTGAGAGGATCTGTTCTCAATGCCTGTGCGAAAATGTGTAATACTGATCATCTGTTCACTTAATCTAACTAGAAATGGTGCATGTGAACAAATCGGTAAAACTGTTCCGTTATTCACCACGGTCTGATCGTTGGCAGGAATAATGAAGAGCTGCTGATCGGTGTTACACGTTTACTGCCAGTATCCATCTCGGCAGAGGCGCAGTGCCTCTCATCATCTCAGTTAATCTTTTTCGATCAGAATTAAAGCATGATTTAAGATGGAAAAATAATGATTTCCTCTTGGTGGAACTTCCACAAAACAAGTAGCTGGTTTGTAGATGGTGCTTTGGGAAAATATAAAAGGAGTTTTTTTTGTAAACTAACAGCTCTGTAAATACACATATCCTGACACATAGGAACAAGTGAAGGTTTATTCCATGCAGTAAAGAGAAGTAAAGAAAGAAAAGGTTTTGGCTCTGGAGCCTACTTCAGGGGTCAGGCACGCAGTTACCTACTTGAATATCTTGACACATGTATACTAATGAAGCTGCTATCTACAAAGCTTCCTATTAAGTATATGCCTGATGTTGATTACTAGTATTTATTTTATGGGGTGCAATACAGTAGATATGCTTTAGTGAATTAATTTGTTTTGATTTTTTTATATGAAAAACCTTGCAAGATACACAGCACATTTCTGTATTTGTTCCTGATGGTATCATTCATGCATCTATTCATATGAAGACAATTCAATAAAGGGCTCTACATTATCCCTTTTAGGTGAGAAAATATGTATGTATGTTGTGGATTAAGTCAAAGCAATTTTAAAAGGGGAGGAAGAATAGGGACTATTGATGAAAGAGGGTGGGGAATATTAATAATGATCCAGACGTGACATCTTGGGCTATCAAATGAAAGAAATGGATTACTGTTTACCGTTCATTGGTAAGACAATAGAGAAAACCAAAGGGAAAAAAATAAAAACAAAATATGGAAATGAAAAAACATATCTGCCCCAACTCCTTAAAGAAGAAAAATAAAGGAAAATGAAGAAACCGCATCCCCAACACAACATCTTGACTTGCATGAACAATCCACATTGTGCTACAGGTTAAAGTGTTGCAGGTTCAAGACCAGTCCTCTGCATGTTACTTCACATAAAGCATCATCTGAGCACCAGGCTTCTTTAAATAACAGGTCTGAAGTATCAGAATTCCAGTTTAATCCTGCTTTCGACAGAAGAGGGTTTCAGTTGGAGGGGTAAAGCTAAGAGCAGACTTCAGTGAGGGGGAAAAGAGAAGAGGCTTGAATGAGCTCTGAAGGAAGCTATGAAATCTAAGACTTCATTAAAACTTAGTAAGAAATAAAGAGAGCCAGGAGTATTGACACGTCAACTATCTATACCATATATCCTGACTGATTCCACCAGTTATGGCATACGGGAGGGCTTCAAGATCTAAGGTTACAGCCAGAACATAACAGGACCAGGAACGATCACATGAAATAAAAAAAAAAAGTTGAACACAACACTAGAGGAAATGGAGAACGAAAAATAAATGTTTTTCAGCGGCAGGCAAATTAATAAGGAAGCACAAAACCAGGAAGGTTTATTCCTTCTTGTAGGCACGTGCAAAACTCTGTACTGCACTTATCGGATGTGGCAGCAGACAGATGTGACAACATAACTAGAGAAAAACAACCAGACCACATAGGAGGATCCTTTTGGACTCCCTGATCAGCCTACACACAGAATTCCTTCCAAAAAGACAAGCTTGTCATTCTTGTCACTGTACTATAAAGCCCTTTATTTAAAGTGCCCCGAATCACAGACCGCAAAACATTTTTGTGTCGGTTCCAAGCAAATGCAGCTCTGATGCTAAGAGGGTCTTTTAAATTCAGACATGCAATCGTGAGGGTTTGAAGACCGCTTTCATTTACTACATTGTTCTCTGCTGAGTCAAGCACGTTATCTTCAAATATGTTGGCGATCTGCAGACGGAGATGTTTTTAGACTCAAGATACGAGGCATGCAAAAGTGCTGTGAATACTGTTGCAGAGAGTTGAAGAAATAACACTCAAATATGTACCAGTCAGAGGAAGGAAAATGGTAACCCTTAAAGAAAGTATTTCTAAAATCATTTAAATGTTTGATAGAAAGCCGAAGAAACAACATGCACTCAGTGACCTGTCAATAGAAAAATACAGAATGTGTTGCAAGGCTGCAATCAGAGTACTGCAAAAGCTTCTGAGCAGCTATATCCATGATGACTACCTATCATAGTGCCCAGATGTTTTCTTGCTAAGGTGGAATGATTTATTCTGTCAGGGCTACTTGTTACTTCTGTAATGTGCACACTGCATTTAGTATTTTCCATGGGAAACAGATCTCCTTTGGGGGTATTCATTAGGACACTAGATGTGTTATACCTTCACCTGTTCTTGTTTCTTGTAGTATTTTTCTGTTGTCTTAATTAAATGATACTTACAAACTGTAATTTTAAAGATTTCCCAGCCTGAATGTGGTTTCAACTGTAGTGTGATTTTTCTATCATGAGAATTAGGCATGTTTTATTCCGTCAGCTGTATTGCATTCTGTGTAGCTCAGAAGTTATGAGGAAGCTGGAAAATGGGTTCAAATAATACGAGAATTCAAACATTTCATTTTCATTATGGATTTTTCCGCAGTGAGGCCTGAGCACATTCACCTTATGTTCATTGTATATTGTGAATGGTTTCACATTCTACATCTTTCAGTATCGCCTATGTGTTCATAAATATTTCAATATTTACTAAAATGCTTAATTGGATCTTTGCAAATGATTAAAGATACTACTAATTAAGTACAATTCAATCACAAGTACCAAGAAAATATAATTTAAAAAGGAAGCTGTAGTTCAGACATAGTCTCATAATATCCTTTTTCATTTGTTTTGTTCAGTATACTGTATGTTGCCTCACTATCAAGTGCTGTTACTCTCCTGCAGTTTGTGACATTGTGTACCTTGATTCTCCATCTCGTTTTTTGACCATTTTGAAACATGGGCCTAATTTATGTTTTGTTTTGTCTTCAGGAAACACACCTCTACACCTTGCTGTAATGCTGGGACACAAAGGTGAGTAAAAATTGCGTGTTAACCTTTGATAAATCTTTCATTCAGTTAACCGTACATACATTTATCATTCGTATATTAAAAACTTTGGATTTTTTTAGTTTTGAAAGGAACAATTACTTTTCTTTGCTATTTATAAATAGCCTAAATGTTATAAGTATTATACCTATTGTATCTAACCTGTTTATAAATACTAAACACTGAATCGTCTAATTCTGAAATTGAAAACGAGAGCTTTCAGACCCTGAGCAATGTTTTAGAGTAAGCAGACCTCTAAGCTTTTATCACTTTTAAAGCTTTATGATGATACAGGTGAACTGCAGTTTTATCTGTGCAGTTCCACAAAAGGCTTTTGCAGTGCACTTTTCACTGTAACCATCTATTCAGGCTTTCAGAAAGATTGCACCCTATGGTATGTCCTTGTTCAGCTTGTCAATTTGGCCTATGAAAGTGACAGAAATCTTTGATCAGTTTCTGTTATCATTGCAATTCAGGAATTTTTGTTCTTCTGTTTTGTTTGCTGTGCATGTAGACCAGTAATCCAATTTCAGCTTCACAAATAACCAGAGGCCAAGCTTTGCTATAAATAGTGAAACACCCTGCATTGCTGTGAATAAATACACTTTCAGGTGTAAAAGTAGATCTGCATTACACTCAACTTGTATAACATGTGATACCAGTAAACAACTTTTATTTTCTTGACGAATCAATGGAACACTGATCATAGCTCCATCTTAGGTAAAAATGAGAACGCGACAACTGTGATCGGTTTTGTAGGCTTCCAAGCAAGTCACGATCTGCTACCACTATACTGGGGCTTTAGGGGACACACGGCGAGTGCTTCCTACTGATTCCACTTACACCTCTTCCAGCAGCAACCTCAGCTTTCCCAGGAGGTCCCCCATCCAGGTACTGGCCAGGCTCACTCCTGCTCAGTTTCAGTGGGTTGCCAGTTGTGAGTTGCTAGTGTAGGCAAAGACTATTGCTATGTGTTGATAAGATCTCCATCCATTCATTTTGCATGTAGTTATATCACCCTGCAACTCACAGCTGTCACAGCTGTCCCGGACGGTGATGATTTTCTAAGTGTTTTGCAAAGCTGCTGTCTTGATTAATGCAAGACCTCCGTTTTTGTGCCCAGAACTTTATATTTTACGTCTTCACTGCTTAGTATGGAGGTGTTTAGCAGCCTGGTCTTCAAATACAAGCCTTTTTAAAAGTTGGAACAAAAAACCTGCTTCAAAATCACTCTAGGCATCTTTGAAGTGTGATTAAACTGAAATTGGATTAACCTTTCTTTGAAGTTAAATACTACTGCACAACAGTGCCTTAACACATTCAAGTTAATTGCTGTATTCTCTTCCTTTTCATATCGCTAAAAGCGAGTGTAGTTGTTTGCTCGCATTTTTCTGTAAGCTCTTGTGGATTAGCGTCAAGTACAGGTTTGTCAAGATCTTAAATGAAACAGCGACTGGTAGGATAGCTAACCAACCAGCCCATATATAAGGAAGCCTATGTCTGCTATACATGGGCGTTGGGCTGGTAATCCTTTGAGCTGTGGTTTTGGTAATATCTGGATGACCAGTGCACCATGTGTACATGGAATATTTTGAGCAAAACCAGAATATTTTCTATCCAAAAACTGTGGTATTTATAACATGAGTCAAAGCATTGATTTCCTCCACATCCCCATCTAAACCCTCAGAGTATGCCACTTTGTGTACATTTTCCCCCACCTGTTTTGAATACTTTGTATTGAAGCTAAAGTTTCAGAAACACCATCTACAGCTCCCATCCTACAAATTTTAAAGAAGCAACATCCCATTTTCTGCTCTGCGCTGCAACATATAGTAACTAATTTGGCTGGTGTACAGGTGTATTTATTCAAATCAACTTATACTTGCCCCAACTATACAGCTGGATATTTTACTGAAGTAGATGAGGTGAAGTATGTTGCTCAGCATATAAAAGCAGTGTCTCACCTGGGATTTGAACCCGTAGCCCTCCAGTTAAAGAGTCCAGATCCCTAACCAGTGCTCCACACTGCTAAGTGTTGCTCTTACTGACTTGGGTATATAGCCCTTACAGATTTGTTAATCAGAGGACTAACCACAAGGGAACCGGGGTTGTGATGCTAACCTAACAACAATTTCTGACATCCTGGAGGTCACCCACCAATAACACAGAGCAAATTTCTAAAATCTTGTTTTAAGATTTGAATTTGCGATAGGATCTACAATGGCAAAACAAAAAATGCTAGTATTAAGTGTTTTTGCATTCAGTTAGAAAGGCACTACATCAGAGATTATCAGTTGTACTGAACAAATGTTTGATCTGATTGTTTGACTGAAGACGTGTTTTGTTAAAGGTGAGATTTGTGTTTTGTTTGCTTAAAGTAGGGAGTTCTGATACATCTGTTCAGGGCTGGCAGTAGGTTTGTGTTGGTGACCGATGCATTACTGAGTGGTGGGGGAGGCTGCCAAAGAGATTTGTGTCCAGAGAGGTGGTCCCCCTGCTCCATCTTGTGCCATTATGGGGGCAGGGAGACGCCAGAAATGCCTTTTTGTTAATGCATTCCCCCCACACTAGCACCAGGCCTGTTTCTATTACAGCTCTTAAACAAATGCACAAGGCAGCACTTAAAGGGCCACATGAAAACAGTAAAATAAAATATATTGTTTGCAGACATGGCCTTTTCCACTTGAGATGAATTATTTAGGGCGTGAAGCTTGCAGTTTCCTAAATTTTTTACGAGACACCTCTAGAGCAGTGAATGGAAAGTAATAAATATTATTTTAAATAAATATGAAATGCATTCAACTGTTAATATACCGCATGTTCTTTTGCAGAGGTATTTAATTGTCAGCTGCACCTCTGTTTTTCAGTGTTATGTTTATTTGCCAGATGCATAAAATTTGTTTAGCCTCTATGAATGTTTATACATCAAAATACATAATTTATAAAACAGAAATCATTTGTCTACAAATGATTAAATGATCGAAATAAGTAATTTGCAGGGAACTCCTATTTGCAACGGGGAACAACTTTTCAAATTATTATTTGGGGAAAATTATTCGCTTTTTACTGTGACATTTCCTAACTGTAATTTAGTCATCGAGCTAATCACTGGCAAACATAATTTTCATAAATGTTAATATTCAGTAATTTTATAAGTGTCATAAATATGGTTTATTAAGCTGTAGTTATTTCATTCTTATTTGTGCATTGAAAGCTTATTGATCCTATCCAGTTACAGTTAATATTTCTTGTAATTTAATGGCAGACTGGCTTTAAATAATCATCCTTCACGATTGCACAGTTGGTTCCAAAGTTTCTGTTTGTAGGTGAAAACATGTAAAAGCCACATATAATACCCATTAAAATAAAAGTAAATGTGTACAGTTCATTACAAGTGCTCTTAACTGGACAGAATCCAGTTTAGTTTGGGTACGTCTCTGATGTAGAGTTTAGCACCATAAATTAAGTGTTTGTTAACAACAAGTAGAATTTACCAATACTTCCTTTTTACATCAACGTTTCTGTTTAAATATATAAGGCAACAGATACAGTGTATGGGTAAATTAGCAAGATGTCTATAGTACACAGAACCAATTATCTTGACTTGAATTAATCAAAATTTATTCCCGAACAAATTGTTAGTTATCAAATCAAATCAAAGTTTATTTATCAAATGCACAACAGTACGGCGTGCAGCAGTAGTTGCTGCCAATGAAATGTCTTTTTCTGTGAGCTCACAAAATGACAAGAAACACAAGAAACACAAGAAACACAAGAAACACAAGAAACACAAGAAACACAAGAAACACAAGAATCACAAGAATCACAAGAATCACACAAATTCACAAAAACACAAAAATCACAAAAATTGAGGTTACATTTTTGAAATTGAATAAAACTCAATGTGAGTAGAGCCGTTATGTGTCCATGGTGTATGCAATATACACATGTAGTGCAGTTATGCTGGATATAGTGAGAATTGTGTATCCATGTAGCCATTACAGGTGATTTGCTAAGGAGCTACAGGTTGGCTATTTAGCAGTCTTATTGCCTGGAGGTAGAAGCTGTTCCGTAGTCTGTTGGACTTGGACCGAATGCTTAGGTACCGTTTACCAGACGGTAGGAGGGAAAACAGGCCTTCTTCAGACATCTAGCTGAGTAACATCTAGCTGAGTAAATATATCTTGTGCAATCAAAGACGGAATAAAAGAGCATCACACTCTCTGGTGATGTATACTATGCTTTCTGAGTGTGCCTTAACAGAAGCAGAACAAAACCCTTAATTGTATAAAATTTCATAAATCAGCGTTATGCTCTTAAGACAGTTAAAACAGCTGCCAAGAGGAAGCGGAAAATGAAAAGAACAACAAGCTACTCCTTTGGAGTTAATCTTAACAAAAATAGGTTATAAATATTTATGTATCACTCGTTTTAGCAAGTATTTGTCAATAAAGCACTTGTTTAGCAATAGTGTATTTTCTTAACAATAGGGACGTTGTTATGTGATAAAAGATAATTGTAATATGTTGTGAAGTCAATTCTCTTTAAGTCCGGCAATACAAGATTCTCTTCTTGCCTTTAGGAGGTCACCACTGAGCAGTTTAATGAGGTTCTCTTCCAAAAGCACGTGGAACTCATTCCTGAGCTTGTGAACACCCTGTCCCACATCAGCCTCGATACCTCAGTGTAAAACCATGCAAGAGAGAGCGCTTCACTCCCATTTTAAAGCATGAAGTTTCTGCGTCTGCGGTTCATTAAGTCGCCCGTTATGAGATTGAGCTTTTTAATTTGTCCCTCCGTTATTGTGACAAGATCAGGGAGACTCCTCTGGGATTCCAGTGGCGACTGAAAGAGTGGTTTGAAATGTTGGGCCGATACTTGCCATCTGCCCAAGTTGTCATAAGTCCTCTGTTTCTGCCGTGGTTTGTAAAATTCTTCTTCAATTTGTCCTGTTTAGTTTCTATTTTTCACCTGCACAATCATGTACCTCTTCAAATATCAGATTGCATTTGATGGAAAAGTTAGGCAACACAACATCCAATGCATTTTCATACGCATCTCCTATTTTATATCGGTACTCTTGTGTAGCAAGATCTGTAACTTACTCTTGATGATAAGATGGCATTCTAAGTCTCTGCATTATCACATACTTACTGAAAAAGGGTGTCCTTTAGAGACATTCTGTAACAATCTGCTTTATAAATGGATATTCCCATTTTCTATGTATATTTTTTAAAACTATCAGGGGAATGCAATGTTTACATTACAGAGAGAGACTGGGATGAAAAAAAATCTCGGAGCATAGTGTTTGTTGCTAGTTGTAAAAACATAGTTTTAGTTCGCTACATACAACAGGAGGCATTTTTGTCTTTCTCCTTGGTAAAGACCTCCACTAAAACACGTGCTTTTGACCTGTGCAATATCTGCAGTCACTGCACATCCAGCAGCAAAACAGTATTTATTTTAATATAATACATACTCTTTGTTGGTAAGTCTGTCTTGCCCTTCCCTACAATGAGTGTTGGCATTTCTTTTAAAGCCAAGTAGAGAAATTTCCCTGAATTTATAGCAAGCCTGGGGCCATGATTAGACAAAAAAGATTCAATAAGCCATTCTGCTCAGTGTTATATAAGCTGTTTTGCTAAATACCATCATACAATAAATGCACCAGATACTGGGAGATGTTGGAGCTTATTTCATTTTCTACCTGTGTGGCTTTAACAACTGTTCAGAGAAGTCTTTTGCATCAGCATCCTAATGTTGTTTTTTCAGATGGCTGATGGCAGATGTCTGAATCGGAGTTTTCTAGTACCTTACTGTTCTTCTGTGTAAAACGCTCCTGTCAGTGACCTGTGGATTATCAAATATATCTGTCATATCTATATTTGATTCAGTGTAATAGAAATATTACTATAATTATATTGTAGAATGTGACTGGGGCTGTGGCTTCCTAATAGAAGGGGCTGTGGATTCAAATCCCAGGTAGGACAAAGAAGCTTCACCCTTGAGAAGGATTCTTTACCCAGATTATTCCTGTGATCGATTTGTTTAAATGAGTTGTGGGGCACACATGTAAAAATATGTACTTGTAAAGTCTATATCTGGCTTTGGATAAAAGCCAAATGACAAAAGTGAGAGTAATATACAACACATAAGTGCATATTCCTTTGAATTTGTTTGCCTGATTTTATGCAGCAATCGCTTAACCATAAAAAGACAGTTGTTCTCTGACCAGAAGGGGGATATGTTGTTAATTTCAACAGCTGCTCATTACTGTATCCAGTTACACATAGTTCAGTTAATTAGGTTAATGTGCCCCTGGGTATGGAAGTATTGTAACTTGATGTACATTCTGCAGTTATAAAAATAAATATTCCCAAAGTCATTCATCACAGTGTTTTACTATTGACTCTATTTAATGCAGATATTGCTGATGATTTAGGATATAGTAAAACTGAGACTGAAAATTGACTAAAATCAGTAGAAGTGGGTGATTTCGATACCCGAGTCACATCAGCTAGGTGCTTATGTTTGTTTCTGTGCTGTTAAATGAATTAGAGATTCTGTGATTAAAACGGATGAGACACGGGTCTATCACAGGGATTACTCCACAGAAACATGGGTTCCCACAAATACAGCTGGGTACACTGGAGCAACTGGGGTGGGCACTGAACCCACAACCCACCTGATAATGAGACCACTGACTTGTACGCTATGTTATGCTGCTTCCTTTAATTTGGAGTACTACGTAGAAAGAAGTTCAAGACATTATCTATGAAAAACTGATCTTAGTTATAGCCTGTATCACATTTGATTGTCTGATGTTACATTGATAGGGCTTTGGAAGAGGAGATGGTTACTGTCACCCGATACAGTACGGTGTAGTGCAGGCCTTTTATCTTTTTGCATTTGATTACTATATGTGGCATTTGTTGTTTGTGGCACAACAGAAAGCTGTCATTCAAGCAGCAGGCTTTTCTAGTTTTATTCACCCCTTACACAAGGTGCAAATGAAATATAGAAAGCATGTCTTTTCCGTGCTATATTCATGATTTTAATCAGATACATATATGGGTCTTCTGGTACCAAGCGTACTTCCACTTTCCGTGAAAGAGTCCCCTGTGCTTTATATTGATGTGTGTTTTATTTCTGTAAAACGTCCAATGGTTTGTATAATCGTATAATAATATAATTATTATAATAATGTTCTTTTTTTTAACATAGCTACTAACCAGGTAAAGGGGTGAAGACAAGACAGTTTTAGGCCAGAACGTATCCTACAGTTTAATGGACTTGAAGTGCTGTCATTACTCTCATGCTTTCAGTTTTACCCATCTTAGACATTTGTTGTGTGTATCACAAAAATATCAATACAGTTCTAAGCAGTGGGTCTACTCCTGCAAGCAAACCTCTACTTATACTTATACTATACTTTTCTTGAGGTTAAAGTGATAAATCCACTGGGTGGCTATAGTCCTAGACGGTACAGAAAGAAAAACTTCAAACTTTCTTGACGCATAATCTTGTTTCATTTTGTCTCTTTAAAATTTAAATTGAAGACAGCATGCAGAGGTGTTTGTCTTGCACTTACCTTTCTTTTACAAAAACATTAACTTTACCGATATTAGAGACATTGAAATTAATTTATTCAAGCAATATGAAGACGTATAAATGAAAATGGTTTAATAATAGATGGATGTCTTCAGTTTTATGCTTTTTTTCCTGACGTTTGTATGTGATTTAATGGTTTTCACTTAGAGCAAAAAGTTCCACTTTTACCTTGTTTGACAACAAAACATTTGCCATATGGGTAGAGTACCACTTACCTGCCTCGTTGTAAATACCGTGCCAGATCGGAGATGGATTTGCCACTGTGCCATATTGGCCAGCTTTGCGTAGTGACTGGGATGCACATTTTTCCCATCTCAGCCATTGAACTCTGTAGCTCTTTGAAAGTCACTGTTGGCCTCACAGTTGCATCCCTAATCAACTTCATCCTCACCCAGCTGCTCAGTTAGGGGAGAGAGAGCCAGATCTCGGCAGTCTCTGCGTGGTATGATACACATTTCACTACTTAATGATCGACTTCACAGAGCTCAATGGGAAATTCCGTGTTTTTGATGTTTTTTTAATACTTCTTTACTGATCAGTGCTTTTCTACTATTTTATCCCCAAGTTGTCTCGAAAACTCCTTAGTCTTCATAGACGGATTTTTGCTGGAAATTCACTACCTGACTGAGAAACCTTACAGAGAGGAGTGCATTTATTGTAAGATTATTTGAACCGCTGTTATTGTACACAGATACCACTCAGTTGTGTTGTTTCTTATTGTAATCTCTGCACCTAATTTAGGTTTGCCACAGTAAAGGATTTGAGCACTTATGCATAATGACACACGGTTTTTCCATTTTACTTTTGTATTAATAATCTATTTTCTTCTTTTTGTTTTTTGCTTTGTATATATGGCGTAGTTTGCGTGCATGGATATTAATTGTTACTTTAAAGTGCCATGACATGAAAGAAACAAAATGTGAAACCTGTGCAGGGATCTAAATCCAGCACTTTTGCAAGGTACTGGATCTAGTTGGTTTTCTTCAAGCATTTCCACCAGCTCCTCGCTCACCTGGGAAATCATATTTCACGTCTGTAGGCTCTGCTGCCATTTTGTGGTATTTTCACTCTTGTTTCATTTCAGGAAAAGGTACGTAGACTGTGCACAGTGCCTTCTTTTTTGTGAATAATCAGAAACTTGGAATGTGCGATGTCCAAAAAAAAAACATTATCACAGCAAATGGTGCAGCTTGTTCAGTTTGAGCGCAAGCATCGCCGAGATGACAGCCTGCGAGCGTAATCTTTGCATCATGTCTCCCGAAATCAGGCGATGGTTATCATGTTTAACACAAGAGCGTGCTGCTCTGAAGGGAATATTAATAAAGGCAGCAGATGAATAATCTGCCGTCAGGTATTTTTGCACTTGTGAATCAGAATTGCAGTGGGAGGCCTGCAGAAGGTCTGCTCTGTGCCAAACAAATGGTGCCGTTACACGATGTCTTTCCAGTTTTATAATGGCCTAATGAGGGGTTATTTTGAGGAAGAGGGTTGTGTGTCCTGTTCATTGATAAGGTTGATTTTAATCTAGTTTCCCAACCAAAGGCGAACACTGGCTTCTAATGGATGGGAGCTTGCGGGGTAGCAGCCCGTCTCTTCAAGACATTTTAATGTTTTTGAGTATTCTAGAATGTTGTGATACAGTAACTGATCGTCAATAACTCTGTACCTTTTCTGTAATTTGCAGAGTGTGCCCATTTACTTCTAGCCCACAATGCCCCTGTCAAGGTGAAAAACGCTCAGGGATGGAGTCCTCTTGCAGAAGCCATCAGCTATGGGGACCGACAAATGAGTAAGTACACTGAACTCTTCCTGGAGCACCTGTATCCTCACAGGGGGGTAGTGGCACAGCTGAACGATGGTCATTACGCTGCAAGCGAGGGAGACAAAGCCATTTCTGCTACTTATAGAAGACACGAAATAGGTTAAAGCAGTTTGGCCTTTGTATTTCAGTTAAGCAGAACTCTGAAATGTTTATGAAAGATTAGTTAAAATGGTACAGTATATAACCAATTCCCTCTTTGCAATAATATCTCAATCAAACCAGTAATGCACATAGATTCATTTTTGTTTCATTTTATCCCTTCTGAGACATGACCTGTCCTTGATCTAAACTGTCGGTGAAAACCCAGCTTTCCTCAGGCACTTCCTTTAAAACACGTTTGAAGAGGTTTTTAGACCGTCTTACTTTTCTCATGGGGAAAAATAAATATGAAAACAAGTGCATCATTTTGGATGCACTGTTACATTGGATTTAATGTTTGCATGTAACAGCTTTGCTGAAAGACATGCCCTTTGCACAGCAGGGTTTACCATTTCAATAGTGTTGGTATCAGCAAATATTTCTGGGTGTCCTTAAATGTGTTACAATGCAGGCTGAAACACCCTAGTCAGCTAATACACTGACTAGCTCTTGTCCTGCTAAACTTTGGCTGGTTTTATTTTTCAGGCGTGCATGACGATACACAGCTTTCTTTTTTGTACAACGTTTAGTGTTAAAAGAGCAGAAAAATACATAATTCTCTTTCAGCATGTACTACACAAAATTAAAGCTCATTCTCCTAAAAAAGTGCTGAGCTTTTGTTTTATATAGTGTATTGTAAAACATGTTTTTGAACTTCAGCTCATTTTTGATCTTCTGGTTTTGAATCTGGGGTTTTGTTTCGGCAGTGATTCAGATGAGTTGTGAACATGCCGCTGTATTTACCAAAGCACAGATGTCCTTAATTTAACACGAATTAGCCAGTGTCCCAGGTGCATAAGCACTGAAATGCCAGAAGATCTTTTGTTCTGTTAATGACTAAGTAATATAAGAAGAGTGAAAAAGCACAATAATAGAATTTCTGGCAGTTACTCAGGTGTGTATTCTCTATAGCAGGAATGTGGAATTCAGAATAATAGTCTGCAATATTTAGTGCATCCAGCTGGTTTACTGATTAGTGAGAAAGTTGTAGGGCAAACCTTTGGAGAATGAAAATGAGACTGAGCGAGAAAAACGTTTTATAACCTGTTATCAAAATGAAATAGATACAATTACTTTTTTGCATCTATTTCTTATTTATTTGGTTATGCATTCTGTACACTACTGTGAGCCTTCCTCTGCTGATCAATTTATGGGGAGTTCCATCCCTGTCCTTTCAGCTGTTAGGAAACAGATAAAGTACATTGAATTGGAGTCCTATCTAAGGGTATCCTTTTTATTGAATTAACCTCCTAATTAATATGTATATCTTAAAGTTCTTTCAAAAAACCTTCACTTTGTTTCACATGTAAGATTAGAACGTGTTGACAAGTTCTTCAGAAATCTTAAATTTCCACATTAGTTAGCCAATGTGAAATCAAAACTTGCTCGAGTTACTAACAGCAGCATAGTTAGATGTTTTATTGTTGTCACAGAGACGCTAATCTTTGATCTAGGACCTGCCTTTTGGGTGAATTATAGTTACTGTATATTGTGTATTTACACTAACAAGGATCCTCTACTACATTTGAATTTATATATATATTAATTAAAATGTCATTTAATTTCAGTTACACCCCTATATAATAATATGTCATTTATTTGTTTTCCATCATTTTATAATATGATGACATTTCAAACTTTCTTTAATCTTATTTTTAGATTTGTTAGGTTTCAGTTTTGGTCTTGGTTAAAAATACTTAAGATTGGCTTCTGGAATGTGTTTGTGGTTGCCCACACTGGAATTTTCCAGTTTTTCTTGATTTTATTATTCAAAATATTTTGATCATGACAGTAAGGCAATTTTGAAGAAGCCATATTTTAAATTACATTATCCTAGCAGGATTTTATAAGCATAAGATTGTTGTAAGTAAAATTTTACAGTTCCCCTTTTTGTTTTTCCGATCTGTATCACACAGTTAATTCTTTATGACCTGACAATTTCTCTTCCTACATTATTCACATAGATCTTTTTTGTAGTTTTCCATTTTCTTTGTTTGCCTTCAAATTTAAACAGATAATAAAAAAAATAACTACTGCTTCTGTGATTTAAGATGCATTATTATATAAGATAGATACATTAATTTAAATATTGTACATTTAAGTGTTTTTGGACTGAAAAATTTCCTCATTTTAATTTTCCAATTACCAATCAAATGTTAAACAAAAACATTTCCCCAGCCTCACTTCTGCATACTTTTTTTTGTTATTCCCTTCTGATTTAGTACCTGTGTTTAAAAGAATGCAAAGCTTATCTTACTGCCCTGAGCCAAGTATCACGTTCCTTCTTAATGATGGGGCACACCCCTCTTGAGTGACAACTGGAACCCCTCTTTTCGCTCGAGTGAAATTCACCTGGAATCTGTTCTTCCACATTAAGGATGAATCCGTGTTCAATAAAATCTGAAAAGATATTATTGAGAAATTGAGGGCGGCGCAGTAGGTAGCATTGCTGCCTCGCTATGCTGGGCCCCTGGGTTCAATTCTGGGGTGCTATCTGTGTGGAGTATGTATGTTCTCTTTGTGTTTATGTGGGTTTCCTCCCATAGTCCAGAGGTATGCCGGTAGGTTAACTGCCTTCTGGGAGAACTGAACCTGCTGTGTCTTTGTGTGTGTGTGCCCTGTGATGGACTGGTGTCCCATCCAGGATGTACCCTGCCTTGTGCCTGTTGCTTGCTGGGACAGGCTCCGGCTCCCAAACAACCTTGTAGCGGATGAAGCAGTTAGAAAATGGATGGATTATTGGGAAATTATAATTGAATAAAAAACATACATTGAACTGAATTAATCTACATTGTTTCCTGTTTTCCAATATTTTTCCCCCTGTTGTCTTCTCTCTTCTCGTATTTTTTGGTTCCATGTCACACAACCGCAGTAGCGCACCCATATCAGAGCTCAGTGTTACAGACTGCACTGCAGGCAAGTTGCAAATGAAGGCCTAACAGGGAGATGAAATCTTCTATCTCACCAGCTGTGTCAATACAAGTAATTCCCCAAAGAAACTCTCTGAACCTGCTCCTGTCTTCTGTGATGTGCTGAGTTTGCAAAGTGCCCTGCGTTTACAATGCAGTTGCTGAAATTGTTTATTTTTCCTCTTGTTACAGAGAAACATTTTTCCTTCCCCTCACACTTATCAGCTGCGAAACCTAATGTGAACTGTGATGCTTGGTTGAGATAACTATTATATCTGTGAAAGCATCAGTGTTGTTGACTTTTTGGGGGGTTATACTTTTTAGGCTAGCAGTGCCCTCATTGGGCAAGAACAGTAATGTAGATGATTGTTTACTACCAGTCTCTCCAACAAACATATTGTAATGGTATCCTAATACACAGTCTTTTGTTTTTCATTTATGAACTAAAGTTTGTGTGCTGTGCTGACGCTTTGTTCTCCCTGTTCACAGTATTGAATTGCGCCAAAGGGACATATTGAATTCTTTCGGTGGTGTACTGGCCTTGGATTTCTTCCAAGTATTATTCTGGGAAAAATAAAGTTGTTCTCTCTGCAGTCTTTAGACTTTTCTTTTCAAGTGTACAAGGTGAAATTTTCAAAATCAATATATTCGGTGTTTACAGTCTAAACCCAGTTCTTTATCCCAATATATATATATATTTTTAAATTTCAGAACTTTGCAAAAGCTGAGAATTTTTCACTATTAGTGATTCTAGATTTAAAAGTTGCTGCATAAAACAAACTCATCACCTTCAGTTTTGTGGCTTTCTGGTGTTCAGTTTTGTTGTCCATACCAGAGAGTATTCTTTTTTTCAGCTGGCAGCCTCACATGGGTTTAATATTTTATGGGTTAGGATGCATCTTACACCTTTAAAAATTATAAAAGTGACTTAAAATATGTCCTGCTTAACCTTCAGTTAAATACTGTAAGTGTACAGTCAGATTCCACAACACCTCTATTGAACTGATGCCTTTAAATTCCTCAGGTATCCCTACAGGAAAGAAAAATCACCTGGGTTCAGATCAGGTGATAAGAGTGGAAGTCCATTTCTCTCTTTATGTTTAGGGTATCTATTTTAAAGAACTCCAGCGATGAAGGATACGTGTAGGAAGATTTTGGTGCATTAAGAACTTAAGACTCCGAAGTATACTTTGTACTGTCAGAAAAGAATACAGTACCTTTACTTTTAATATTTTTTTTCTTGAATCCTTTGTTCATTAAGACACCCTGAATGACATCTGTTCTGTTCGGTTTGGAATATCAACTTTAGATATATCAGCTACAGTACATGGAATAATCCGTTCTCCAAACTTGAAAAGAAATTTTCATTTTCAAAGTGAAAGAGTTTATGTCTAACTTTACATTACTATATTGGATGAGTGAGTCTCAGTCCTTTGTTTCAATTACTGTTTAAGTTATTTTCGTCAGATGCCGTGTTCTGTGAACTCCAAGTCTTTAATGACTGTTTTTGGATAGGCAGATGCTGTCACTCTTTGTTCTTTTATAAATGCCTTTTGAGCCTGCTACTGTAACTCTGTCCAATTTAAATAGAATAGTATCTGTTGTGTTTTGAAGCACGCATCCTCTTGGCTGTCTCCATTTTTGGAAGTGAATTTTTGAACAGGCAGAACAAAGCAAGAATTGAGCAAGAATTCTTTCACATTTTCTGCATTATACCATACAGTTCCCTGTCTCCAATGTGAACCCATCACAAGTTGACAACTGAAAAACTATAGCAGTCTCAATTTCTGCAGCTTTTATTTTTTCATTTGAGATTTGTTCGCTTCTGTTTACACACAAAGAGAGAGATCATTTCATTAAGGTTATACCTGCTAAAATCTGTTTTTATTGCTCATTTATTTGATTAAAATAAAATCTGTT